TTGGACCTTAATAAAAAAAGACCATTGGAGCCTTTCTTTTTCATGTTTTTCCCCGAAGTCTGGAGAAAGCTAAACTCATACTCTCCTTCCATCTAGAGATGGCTAAAAATTGGTCTCGGGTCGGGCTCAAATCTGTACTAGTGCCAAAAACTATTCCCATAATCAGTCTCTGTCATGACCAAAAACCAGAGGCCCTGTTAAGGTACTTTTGTAACCGGTTATGAGGATCGGTCCCGGGCCGAACCCAAATCGGTCCTATGTATTTTTTTAAACCGATTTTTTACATAATTTTCTTTTTTTGAACCCCTCCCTGGCCGTGCTTTTTGTTTTGACGAATAGTGTAACTGGTCCCAAACGGTCCTGGAATCAGCGAAGTCGGACTGGGCCTATTTGGCCATCTCTAGTTTCATCTATGAAAAAACTTTCCAAAGAAAAACATTTTCAATCTATATAGACAGATTAATCCATACAAACAATTTTATTCATATAAGACTTAATGGAAAACCAAAGAAACAACATAAGTCTTAAAATGCGATACAATATGCTCCAAAGTCATTTCATGGACTAGTTTTGTGAATACAAGCATATAGTGCATTCTCATATAATTTGGCAAGAATACAAGACCTTAACTTATGGCAGAATCGTTGTAGTAAAAATTTTTAAGCTATTTGCGGTAAAGAATATGGAACATTTGATCAACTTTTATCGTAAAATTAAAGAATTGCAACTAAAAATGGGTACTTATTTATAATTAAAAAAAAACCCAATATCTACCCAAAACATGTTCTGGGTATATACAAATACAAACAAGAGACCCTTATAACATCATTGGCTCTATAAAACTGAACAAATATAATGGCAATAATAGACAATAAACTTAGGAATCAAGTTGTGAAGGAAGTAACATGCCAATATGATTCGAACATGGGTATGAATTGAGAAGAATAAGGAGGATGCAAGGATCTTCCAAGTTCCATCTTCCTTCTAACATTCCAAAACATCTCTTAAACACACTCTTTGCTTTAAATTGTTTCAAGGGGTGTACAGAAAGTGATCTGGATTAATTAGAACCGCCACACCATAATTAATATCCAGTTGTAATTAGATTAGACCAAAATTCAAAATTTTAACATCTAAATTGGATCGGCCCGTTCTTAAACATCCAAAATTCAATAAAACTAAACAGATCAAATCCAAAGTACTCATCCACTTACTTTAATTATATATATATATATATATATATATATATATATATATATATATATATATATATATAAGAGTACTAATTTTGGTCCCTAAGATTTAGTGAAATATTTAAAAGTGGGAGCTAAACTTTGATAAGTCTAGAAATTGTCCTTGTGGTTCTCATTTTGCTTTGAAAGTGGTCCTGGTCACGAACTTCGTTAAATGTTGTATGTTAAGAGGGGTATTTTTGTCTTTTTCTTTACTTCCTTAATTCTCTTTTAATAAATTAAATATATAAATATATTTATATGAGAGCGACCAAATGCAAACCACCCATATTTTACAAACCGTACAAACCATTCTCATTCGTCGATCCCAGTATTTAATTTAATGAAATTGTTTAATCTGGTGAAGTTGTTTTATATAATTTTTTTGATGAAATTGCTTCATATATGGTTGTTTCTATGTTTTAATGAAACTGTTTTATATATTTCTCTAAATTAATATAATGAAGTGATAATAACGATAATTAACGTCCCCCACAATAAAAATAACTAATCAACCTCTCACAATTACAAAAAAATGAAGAAAAAGTTATGATTGGTTGAATGAGGTTGCATGATTTTGTAAAAATGACTTGGTTTGCAAAATAAACCACCCCATATATCGTATTATATATATATATATATATACACACACACACACACACATATATATATATATATATGTGTGTGTGTATATGGGTCTAATCAAATGAGAACTAGATAGTTTGTGGTAACTGTGAGGTCCAATATGAGCCAATCATTTTAGATAATTAATGTTATTTACTAAAATAAACAAATGATAAATTAGTAAATTGTGTTGATTATTCAATTTACTTTAATTAGTTTAATTATTTTAATATATGTATATGTATACACACGCACGGATACACAGGGACCAAATCCGATGGCCTTCTCCGGCACCCACCACCACTCCAGTGATCTCCTCAGGTCATCTTGTCTGACCAAGACGCCGTCTCTGATGATCGACCACTAAACATCCACCTATGAGCATTCCTGACAGCTAGCCCCATCTTTGTCCTTGTGACCCCTCACTACCTATCCCCCATCCCCACCACTGACCACCATCTCCATCGACACTCCCCTTGATCCCCCTCCAAACAACCTCATCGATCACCCTCCATCCCGAAAAACCCTCTACTCCTGAGGTCATCTCTATCCCAACCTTCTTCTCCAACTCAACCTCCAGAGCTGCAACACACATACACACATACACACACTGCACATATACAACAGACATCATGCACACTATACACACATACACATGTATACAACGTAAGTATCATAGTGGTACCACAGTTGGTATCACAGTGGTCTTAAAGTATACTTGATGTGTTGTGGGTATCAGATTGTGTATCTTGGTGTATTTTGGGTATCACACAGTGTTCATCAGATGTCAGAGGTAGGAGAGATAAAAAAAAATTAAAATACCTAAAATGCCCTTTAATTATAACTTTAAGTCAAATTACCAAAATTATTAGTTTCTTAATTTATCCATTATTTGTGGTTGAGATTGGATCTCACAGTTATCACAAACTAATCAGTTCTTCTTTGAATGTACCCCTGATATATATATATATATGTTGGTCTCAACCACCAAATTTGAAAATAATATAAGTGACATTCGATATAACATTTAGAAGAGAACTCTTGTTTCTTGCCTTGTATTTGTTATATCAGAAGTGAGTCAATCATTGGATATAATAAATAGTTTTGTCATCCGAATCCAATCTTACAAAGGAATTTATTTGTATACATTTTTAGATTTAGATCACTTTCATCTGAATGCAAGGATCTGATTGATTCAATATGGTCATTCAATCTTGATTTTCAAGAACCACAAAAACTCTAAGTTTACATTTAATCCGATTTACCATATTTCACAAAAAATTTAAAGCTGAAATTCGATATATAGCTTATATTTCGAAAAGATAGATAGGATTTTTCTTTATAAAAATCTTGTAATGTATTCTTCCAAGAACAAAAAGCCTTTAACAAAATCAAACTAGTTGAAGTGAAGTCAAGATGTCACCAAAGTGGATTAGATTGTCATCTAGCCGAAACAAGATCATTACAAGATAGATTCAAAAGTAGTCTGACAATACTACTTGGCAAGGCAAAATTGGAATGCAAAGTTATCCAACAAGTTTGGCTTACCAACTTTCATCCTGGTATAGGAACATGCTTGCATGTTAGACAAAGTGGCCTTCAGTGACACTATACTATCCGAAAGAATTGTGATCTTGAACCACGTATCAACGATACATGAAGTAGTCCTCGGCGACAATTTTCTTGCTAGATCAATATCTTGCTTATCACGTTGTTTGTCTTCTTCGCTCTTGCACATTGTCAATACTCTAGGCTTATCTTTGATAGAAGATACAATACCATTTTCATTATGGTATTCTGTTTTGCTCAAGGATAGAAAGTACATGTTCTCCACTCTTCTCTTGACACGTGGACTATACATGCCAAGGTGCATTAAATGTACATGGTATAAATAGTTGAGAAAACTCTCCTTCTCACAACCTTGACATCTCTCTCTTAATCCTCCGCGTAAGAAAACCTTTGTCATTTTCTGCTTTGGTCTATAGATAATCTTAGTGTTTTAAGATTAAGGTTAGGTTGTTTAGTTTAAGATTTTTTCTTTTTTTATTTTGCAATAATCTGTAAATTCAAATGTACTGATTTTTCTCTATAATCAATAAACAAATTTAAAAATGGAAATGATTATGTTTGTATTCAGTCCCCTACCTTCTATGTTTAAGCGTTGTGTACCCTCTCGGGACCAACAAGAACATCATCCCAAATTTTTATGAGTTCATTGATTTTTTTTTTTGCGATACATAAGTGATACCAAATCAAATCCTCAAATAAAACCATAACTTATGCATAAAATCAAAACCCAAAGTTTAGACTTGCATCGACCTTTACCCAAAACTCTCTGAATTTATTGAATCAAAAGTAAATCAAAACCAAAGAAATTACATATCGTTGGCATGGAGGTGTTGATGGGGTTTCCTCATCTACTTCTGAACCTCATTTACATCTTCGACCCCTCTAAAATCTCTCCGATAAAACAACGTTCGACTTGCATGTGTTAAGCATATAGCTAGCATTCCTTCTGAGCCAGGATCAAACTCTTCTTTTGACTATGATTTGGCCCCGCAGTGGTATCAACTTCAATTATCTTCTTTCAGACCTCATGTCTTATCTCTACATCTTCGATTGCTACTCCTCCTCTTATTCTAGTTCCTTACTTCACCCACAAAGTTACGCTGGATCTCAGGCAGGGTTGGACTTGATCTTTTACTTGGCTGAGAATAATCAAAGCATTGTTTGTGGGCGTTGCTGCCAAAAGAGAGTAGTAGAGGAGGGGAAAAGATTTTGCCAGAGAAAAGGGAGGGGATGTGTTTCGCCGAGATTCAACGGTTATGGAATTGGGGGCTCAAACAAGAGAGGGAGAAGCGGCGGTAGGATAAAAAAAACTACATTGCCCTTTCTCTAACTCGAGTGACTTATTAATGTTAGGGATCAAAACTAGATAGCAGCCAAAGAAAAGGGACCAATGTTGTAATTTACTCATTTGGTAATGAGACATAAATACAAGAATCAGTTTTAAATTTTCTTTTAAATAATTTAAAACGTGGGAGAATAAAGACTAAAAACGGTATAAAATTATTTGAAAAATTCATATTTACAGAGAATCCCCCCTTCACGCCTGCTTGACCAATTGACCATACGCCACCACCGCGGCCGCCGCCGCCACCACGACGGAGCTTAGAAGAAGAAAACGTTGAAGTGGTGTAATCGAGGCACGACCTTCATCAGGTCTGGTTAAAAAGGCACGCACACACACACACACACTCTGGTGTGTGTATGGTGGTCCTGGTGGATTCTCCATCTCTTTTGATCGTATACTTGGAGATAAAGCTATGCGAGAATAATACTACAGAGTAAGCTCAAACTCTAAGATCCACTGGGAATTGTCTTTCTCGATTCTCGTGATATGCCCTACGAAAAGGTAAAAATTTCTTTTCGTTCTAATCATTGTCCCCTAATTTATATAAATTGATTTTGTTTCTAATCGTTATTTGATTGGACGCGGTATAGAAATCGTTGCATTTTTCGTTTAATCAATTTGTTAGAGTTTCATTCAAATTTTAATGTTGGATTCCGTTTGCATGTTCTTTAGATCATCAAAGGTGTTTGCTATTCGATTCAGTCTAAAAGTTCGAATCCGAGGCAAATTATACGTATAGTGTTTTGCTCTGTGTGAGTGCATGTGGTGTGATGTGGTGTTCAGTTTGAAGTAAACAGTATCCTGTAAAGTTTCCCCCCTAATAAAAGGAACATTTGGAGCTCCTTTTGGCCTTTCTTATTTATCTTTATGCAACAAAATACACCCACACATAAACGCCAAAAGAGTCTCACTTTAGCATGCAAGAGCTCCGTCTTTTAGATAAAGGAGATAGAGGTGCTGGTATTCATAGGTGCAGAATATGAAGAAGAAAGCTTGTGATGGTAATAATAGTGATAAAGGTGGTGGTGATGATCTGAAGCAGAAAGAAAGACACTTAGTTTCATGGTCTAAAGAGGTTCAGTTTCATATCCCTAATCAAGCCTTTGTATTTTTATCATGGGTTATGATCTTTATGTTTGGTTCGTATTGCGGTTTCAGGAGGACGATATTTTGAGGAAGCAAATCGGTATACATGGAACCAATAAGTATGATTTCCTACAGTTTTTCAGATGGGGTTCTTTTTTTTGCAGTTCAAAACCGTTTAGGATGTCATTGATTGGTTTTTTTAATGAATTGACTGGAATTATGTCAGTTGGGCAATTATTGCATCCAAGTTTGAGAAAAAAACTACCAGGCAATGCAGAAGAAGGTGAATTAGAAGATCTTTTTGAAGAAAACTATGTTTGAATTCCTTGATCCTTTTATCTTTGTTTCTGTTATAGAATTACTAATCTTGGGAGTGGGTATAAAATTGCTAATGCAGATGGTTCACTTATTTGAATTCTGATTTCAAGAAAGGAGGATGGACACCGGAGGAAGATATAATCTTATGTGAGGTAAAATTGTGCAAGAACCCTTCCATTCTAGATTCTATCTCAAGACATCAACGTGCCCATTATTAGTATCGGGTCCCTATGAGCATGATCAAAGCACTGTCCTGACACTTTGTTGCAAGTCAAGAAATACATACTGCCATTACTGTACCCTGAGAAAGTGGATTAGGTAACACCCTTCACATGCTGGTGCTTGGGACCAAGATCACTTTCTTTGGGTGCATAATGGGGTTGCAATACAAGTGTCATGCCATTTCAGTTAGGATTAATGGACGGTGCATCCACTGGCAACTCAGTTTTATATCAACTATTCATGATATGTTAATTAGATAATCTGATATCCAAAGATGATTTGCAGGCCCAAAAGATATTTGGCAACAGATGGACTGAGATAGCAAAAGTGGTTTCAGGCAGGTAGATAATGTTCTATATGATTGGCAATTTCATATTGAAGAACCTAATTATAACTACAAGTTCTTTTGTCTTCTCTGAGAAAAAAAGGACAGACAATGCTGTTAAGAATCGGTTCTCCATCTTATGTAAGAGGAAAGCAAAGCATGAAGCATCAAGTAATGAGAACAATGCTGCTGAAGTCAATGCGAACAACAAAAGAACCATGTTCGACAACAGAGAAGATACAGAAGGAATTTTGGAAACTTCAATGCATCCTATGAAGTTGAGGTATGTAGGGTATAAAGTTTCAATCACATGTAAATGTAACAAAGATTAAATGTCTCACCTTAGCACCATTGTTCTGATTCAGGAGGAAACATATTGCTGCTGCAACAGAAGATTGTAATCTAGTAGGATTGGTAGGGGACAGTAGAACTGTAGACCAGAAACGAAGACCTCCATTCGTGGTACTTGTGCAGAATTGCGATAACACCAACACTTCAACAGCTCAGATTCATGCCAGCAGTAAGAAGGCCCTGATAGATGGTAATTCACTAATCACTACACAAACAACTTCTTTGATGTAGAATTCTTGGAATTCTTGACTGTGTTTTAGCTAAGATGAAATTCTACTAGGGTTGTGCAACATTTAACCATTTAATGCTCAAAGATTCTTAGTTGTAAACATCTCTTGTTCATGTTATAACCCTTCAATATGAATGCTAACAAGTTCTTCTTGGCTTGATAAGAAGCATCTAGCGGTATTAGAGTTGAAGGAACAACTTTCAAGAAGGATGATCCGAAGATTGTTGCATTGATGCAACAAGCAGAACTGCTCAATTCACTTGCATCCGAAGTTAATATAGAGAAAACTGACCAGAGTTTTAAAAGTGCTTGGAAGGTGAAAGGATTTCCAATGATTATCTTTTTATTGTAACAATCTTGTGTTGCATTGTGATGCTCAAATATTTGTTTTGTTTCACATATCTATGAATGGCACTTTAATGAGTATGAAAATACATTATTTTATGTAAATTACTTCACGCCCCAATGAACATGCTGATTCAATGTTGGCAATTGTGAAGCACACATGTTTTCAAATATAAATTTAATGTTCATTAAAGTGCAAAGTACTTTTATAAATTGTTTTCAAAGTAGTGAATCTGATCTTTATAAGCAAATTGTGTCTTACATTGTATGCTACAATTCAGGCGGTTCAAGATTTTCTTAATCACACGAAAGAAAGTGATAAGCTTCGGTTTCACATCTCTGATATGGAGTTTCAACTTGAGAATTTCAAAATTTTGGTAGAGGACATAAGAAGTTGTCGTGATGACAACCAACGATTTTGGAGGTAGTAAATATGGGCCAAAGGTTTTCTTGTCCCTTGCTGTTGTTTTTTCAGCACAGAGACACTTACAAAAGTTATTTGTGCAGCCAAGCTGATGTATACCAGGGATCCCCAGACAGTTCTGAGTATGGTACAATGTCAAGTATTCCATCTCACATAAATGAAAAAACGAAGATGGCTGAAGATTTATGTAAAGTTGAACCCCGACCATCTAGACCAATACATCCAAATAATCTTGTTGATGATAGAAATATCGAAGAATATGATGCAGCAGCACATCAAGGTGAGTTCTGCTATAAAGACTTGGGTTCATATCTATAACTTCCTCATCACCGTAGCATGAAGATCAACATTAATTTGTTTCTGTTACAGATATCATACCATCTTCCAGCAAACTCAACGATGATGTTAGAGGTGTATGTCCATTGTCAAATTCGGAATTCAGTTCCCCACTTCAAGTCACTCCTTTGTTCAGGTCAATGGCAGAAGGAATTCTGAGCCCACAGTTTTCAGAAAGCGTAAGTTCTTTTAGCATTTTTTTTATCCACATCATTTATAAGCAGTAAAATGCTTTCCCACTTTGATGACAGCTCCTTGTTGGAGTTGAAAGTAGTATATATGCACTAGTGTCTGGATGGAATACAAATGTTCATCTGGAATATGCTTAAGGCATAATGGTATAGAGAAGCAGCGAATTCTTTTTGGAGAGATACCCTACCCAGCACACTATTTAGGAGACTTTCATCGTCTAAAATTAGGGTAGTCAGGCACATATGACATATGTGCTTCAATTTTATAACCTAAGAGCATATAAGTTAAATAACCTGATTGCATTGCTATTTGATACTGCTAATTAATCTTGTCATTGTTACAATTGAAGGCCTAACTTTTGATGAACTGAGAGTGCATGCTTGACTGGGAAGGCATATATATTGATAGTGTTGTGAGTTGCGACATAGAAGACATGAACCACAGGTTTACTTCCCCAAGATGACAGTGGACTGGTCCCAGTGGGAGCTTTCGATTTACATCCCCAAGACGACCATGGGACTGGTCCAGTGGGAGTGATCCAGATGGTGGCATCATACCCTTTTTGGAGAATAATTTTTCAACAATTGGCTTAGTTAATTCATAAGGGCTTGTTTGCAAGTCCATTGTAGCTAGCTCCTGCAAGATAAGTCCTAATTTAGGCTGCTTACTAGTAAGAAATGGCCTTTGGAAGGCTCATCATGCTCATGCCATAAGCAGTGATGCAAATTTGTACTTTTTTGGTGATGGCAAGCCACGGTCTTCACTGAAACAACCTCTCTACCCTTTGGGGTAGGGGAAAATTTTGCATACATCCTATCCTTCCCGGTCCTACCTCCAAGTGGAAAATACTGTGTTTGTTCAGTTTGGTTTTGTAAGCTCTAGAATACTTTCTTGGATGATCCTGGGAGCTTATAAAAAGTATGTGCACCCTCTTAATGTGATCTCGATTGCCATGTTCTTTTGATGACCTATTAGGCAATAGCAAGCTTTGGGATTAAGCATTTAAATTTTTTTCAGTTCGGTGTTGCACTCTGAAGAAATTCCGTGAGAGATTGTTAGGTCAAGTCAATCTCCTGTGTGCATTTGGTACGCAGATGGGATAGGACAAGCTGGACGGACTAGAGTGAGGTAGGCAGGTGGAAGAATTGTAAAAGGTTTTAGGGTCTTAATTTGACATGAATAGTTTAGGAAATTACCAATCTTGTCCCATCTTCCTGATTTTTGGTCCACCTATTTCGGTGGGGCAGAAAAAATGCAATTTTGTCCCACTTAGGTCCTGCCCCGTCCCAATCTAATATAGTGCTAAACGTGTGACAACAAGTTTTATATTGTCGTGCCCCGTTATGTTCCACGTACCAAACGTGGGACAACAAGTTGTCAATAGAGATCAATGGCAAACAGCAGCCATTCTCCAGTATAATGATTGTCAAAATGCAGGTGTATGAACTAGAACAGCAAGCTGGACCATGGCTTAGAAAGATCTCAACTCTGGGATTTGATTCCTTTGACAATAGGACAAGACTTGAGTTGAAAACTCAAATAGAGGCTTGATAATGAAACATCTTGTTTAGGAGCTGGAACAAGGGGACTTCAACTGAATGAGAATTGTACTCATGTTGCCTACAAATGGCTCAAGCCTATAACACCAAACCCAACTAAGGGGCCGTTTACCAAACACTTACCCGGTAAGTGCTTACCGGTAAAATTTAACACTATTATTTACTTACCGGGAAAGATTTTAGTCCACCAAAACGACATCGTATGCAACAATTTACCCGTAAGTGCTTACTGTGGTAAGAGTAGTCGCCCTCACTTACCGGGTAAGACTCTTGGTCCTTGTCTCACTCTTACCGAGTAAGATTCTTGGTCCTTACCATATTCATCCGGTGAGGTAATGTTACTTGGTAAGCGCTTCCGGATAAGCGTTTGGTAAACGGCCCCTAAGTAGCAGGTTAACACTTCCAAAAGCTTCATACATAGTAAAGTGCAGTTGCATGCAAACTTTGAACATTAGTTTGATTAAAAAGAAAAAAGGGTACTTTCATCCCAGTGATTTCTACATAATTAAGTGTGCATCATGCCATATGTTGTTCCTTGATGTTTTTGGTTACTCGCCTTTCCTACTTCAGCCCCTACAAACATCTTTGAACGAATAACGGATTAAATTATCTGATGCTAACGTTGTTAAATGTCCATGATAATTCCATAAAATATGCACAATCATATATAGACTATCTCCAGATACCACTAGTCGTAAAGGTAAGAAAACTAGCATTTGTTTTCTGCATATGTTTCCAATTTACTGATAGCTATCAAATGCGATGGTCATTTCACTTTCTGCTTTGTGTTTCATGTCATATTTAGCATTTCTCCACATGCATAGGACTCATACTGCAATTACTATTAAACTTGAGACAATAATGTGTTCAATTACAAGTTATTCAAATTACAGATTTCTATTTCAGAAACATGACTACTCTCCACACACACACACACACACACATATATAAAATATAGTGGGGGTTCAAATAAGAAGGCTACAGATAGAGAGAAGGTATGAAGGGAAGGTTCATATGTGAATCATTGAAAATATTCATTTGAAGACGCATATGTGAACCTATAAACGTCATGTGGGTGCACATGCATCTTCAATTAGATTTTTTTTCCGGAGATTTTCAATGATTACAATTACATATAAACCTTTCCCTTCTTACCTTTTCACGGTATTTAGCTTGCTTATTTGAACAAGCCTATATGTATGTATGTCTGTAACAAAAAAGAAGCAGGGCTGACCAGATCCATTTTTTGTCATTTTTCAGGAAAAGCACTTCCTATTAAAAACACTTGGAATGGAACCGACAACACCCAATCCAACCGCCAGAACCTCACAATCCCCACCTTGCAAAAGAGCCCTTCTCCATTGCCTATAATTATAAACAAACACACCCCTCGTCTGATGATCCAAACTACTTTTTCTCCATCATAACTACCTTATGTAGAGAGCCTTCCTTATGATTCTTCTTCCCTTTTGCCAGTGAGTTTTCTTGTTCCCAAAAAAGGTTTGATAAAGAATCTGCATACAAACTAGAATGTTCAGGTACATTCTAGAATGACAAGCAGATCTACCAGAACTTCTTGATTGTGTTTTATTTGTGTGTTTATTCTTTTGGGGGAATCCAAAATTCAACCAAGCATTTGGCCTCCAAATATGCCAAATTCTATACATAACATACTTTTGTCTTAGCTATACATCAGCATGTAGCTGATATTTACATTACTTATACCCATAATTAGGGAAGGGGAAGTATAAAAGAGAGTAAAGGAGGATCTCAAGATCAAGATGCTGAATTGTACTCCTGTTCTTTGTTTGTTTTCTTTGGTTTCTATTGTATTATATGATGATTCCTATATTAATTTGATTGGTTTTTCAGATTTCATATATATATATATATATATATATATATATATATATATATATAATACCAGTATGCAGAAGATTATGTTTCTGAAAATGAAGATATAGAGAACTTACTAGTGAGTTTGAGGATGAAAGATGCATGCTGTTGACAAGAAAATCTTCTCTACTCATCTGTTTGTGTGTGATTTCTCACTCTGTGTGTGTGGAATTTACTGAAGGAATGTTTTGGGAAAGTGGGAAGCTATGATTTTTCAAGTTATAAAATATTCTTGTAAAGTATTGTTTGATTAAATTTTACAAGATTGCATTTTAAGTTGAAATAATTATTATGATAATTTGAATATGTAATTGATTTTTTAAATGAAAAAAATTCATTTGAGTAAGGAATGAATAATAATGAGAAGAGAAAAAATATAGTAAAAAAGTTTGGTGGTATTCACTTTTTCTTTTTGCAATCTATGAATGATTTAGTTGTTGGTGCCTTTTTCTTTCTGGTTGCCAGAGTAGGAACATCATTCTGATTTTACCCCCTACTAATTGTACTCTCGCCTAACTATACACATATTACTTGTTAAAATGGCAAAGTTGTAGGAAACATAACAAAAAATCTGAATCCTTATTACTTTTAGTTTAATGTTTATCTATAAATTGTATTTTAAAAGGGAATTGATGGTGTATTTTATTAGTGTTGATATTAAATTAGGATTGATCCAAGGTTACGTTTTAACTTCCTTCTTCATCGAAACCTAACCCTATTTGTTAAATGGACATTCATTTGTTAATATTTTATATATAGATTAGCACCAAGACTTGGGGTTTTTTTATCCAAGATAAACACTTACCGATAAGAGTCAACATTTTAGACTTAACTTATCGGGTAAAATTTTAGTCTATTGCAACAGCATTGTATGAAACATTTTTATCCGGTAAGTGCTTACCGGGTAAGACTCGTCACTACGTTCCTTGTTATCACTTTTACTGCATAAGATTCTCAAAATGACATGATAAGCACTTATCGGATAAGTGTTTATTAAACGACCCCTTAATTTTTATATTTTCAATGTTCTTGATATACATATGTGTTCATATCAACAATAACCTATCATTTGTTTGTTGCGTTGGGTTGGGTTGGGTGTGTACTCTATAAGCTAAATCTATACTATTTTATAAATCAAATTTGTCAAAAGTCTTAAAAACAATTTTTAACGCACAAAGTAATATACATTTATGTACAAAGTCTTAAAAGCCTTAAAAATAACTCATAATGCATTAAGTACTACTATTTTATGCATTCAGTCTTAAACTATCTTAATCTACGATTAAAATAACATATAGTGCAAGTTACCAATGCACATTATTACATTTTCTTTTCATGTTTCCAATATACTTTTGACACATTTCATTCATGTCTTCACGCTCTCATACCTCTATGTCTTCTCCCATACCCCAAGGTGAGATTCAAACCAATATTCACCATAAGTTATTAAAAGTTCTCCCATTTATTTGCTCTACAACTCTCGGTTTCGCTCTCGATCTCTTGATTCTTTGCTCTTGGTGTAAATCGAACACATTTGTGGAGTCGTTTAAATATGTTGGATTTTAAATATATTAGATTTTACACTGTCATACAATTTTATTCATCGATAGACTGTAATTGGAATCATAACTCTTATTTATTCAAATTGTATTAATATGTAAAGACCAAGTGTAACTTATATCATCGTTAAATCTTCTTTAATAAAATCAGTGAAACTTCAAAATCGTTAAAATTCTCGGCTCTCGCCACATTGCACGGATACACAACTAATCAAACAAAAATAAAGTTTAATATATATGACCTACACAGATCTTAACATGTAGAGTGATATTTTTGTAAAAACACTCATTCTTGTAAAAAGTGTGTAAAAGAGAGAAAATCAGCCTAAAGAAATTGAAGGAAGACATGCACAATAAATTTTGTAAACCCTTGTTTTATATCCATTCACTCGATTGTAAAAATATAAGAGTTAGGTGCGGTTTACCAAATGCTTACCACATCACTTTACTTTATTAGATGAATATGGCAAGAACTAAAAATCTTATCTGGTAAGAGCGAATGCAAGAATCGAGAGTCTTACCCGCTAAGTGAGGACGAGGGCTCTTACCATGGTTAGCTCTTATCGGGATAAATTGTTGCATACGATGCGTTTTAGTGAATAAAATCTTACCCGATAAGTAAGCGATAGTGTTGAATTTTACCGGTAGATGCTTACCGGGTAAGCGTTTAGGTAAATTTTAACATTCCTATTTCTTCAGCCTGCTCGAAAGATAACTCAATAACACATTGCTTTCTAACATAATCACAATATCTTGTCATCCATCGTCAATATATTCTAAACACACATCTTTAATAAATTACACGCAACTCCAACAAATTAGACATTCAATTACATGTTTTAAGGCATACTTATGAACCGAAAACACAGGTTAAGAAATCCAAACGTCCACGACACTATCCTTACCATATAAATAAAAAGTAAACATAACCAACAAATTCTTTTAGCACTTTTACATAAACTCTTTCAATAAGCTCGCGTACTAATTCCCGCATTCGAGCCATTACGCAAGACCTAACCAATTTTACACTTCTACGTTCAAAATTTAACCACCACAAAACTCAGTTACAACTGTATGTTTATATTCACGAGATGTTTAGCTATATAACCATAAACGAGATTTTAATTAAATACATGACCTTTTAACGAGTATGAAGCCATTTTCCTTTTAATAGATGAAGACGTCAATGACTGTTATATTCACACAGTCTTTTTCTTCTTCTGAACTTTCTGCCATTTGAGGTAAATCTGGTATGATAATCCAGTGAACACCATAACCACACTTCCCCATTGCTTCTTGGATAGGGGATTGCCGCTAAGCAGCGATGACACCACAATGCTTACAAACTTTCGGGTTGTCGTGATTGTGGTGTTTGTTAGCGAACCGAACCTGCTAATGGTAAAGAATATGAAGTTTTGGCCAATTGCACCACATAAACAGTAGTAGAGTATATCCCAGGCGGCTTCGGGGTGGTTCTTGCAGAATTCAACTGCTTGATAACCACTTGCTTGTGGAAAACCAAACATGAAAACTAAGTTGTAGATGGTGCCCCATAAATTCATCCCTAGCATTATGTCCCATGCACCTGTTTTCGGGTACCTAAACGCAATTACCAGATGTGTTAGATTGAGATGCCTATGATCACTCGTCAAATGTTTTTTACTAATACGCTTGTTATGTTTTCGAAGTGATCACCATCTTAAAATAGAAATCATCGTAGGATTGAAGTAATGCTTTTAATCAGCTATCAAAGTGGTCATCAAACTCAGACCATTTTTGTTTCTTGAAGATTTGATGGTAACTTTGACTGTTGCCATAGATAGTTTTAACTAATTTTAACTAGGAAGTTAGATATTTACTTATTTTTCCGTTAATATATTGCTATAGAGTTTTGGTCCACAAGATTTTTCTTTATTTTGTCATATTATTGGAGAGCATTTAAGGCATAGGGGTGCATTTGGTATGCGGACCGGACTGGACGGCACTTGGGAGAGTGAGGTATATGGGTGAAAAAAGTGTGAAAGGTTTTAATATAACACGGGTAATTTATTAATTTACCTATCTTGTCTCAATTTTTGTTCCACCCTGTCATGTCTCAATCTAATTGTCACACCAAGCATGGAACAAATTTTTCCAAAATTTGGCCTGTCCCCTGTACCAAACGCACCTAGAGGAACTATTTCCATAAGCTATATGCCTGGCCAAAATTTCAAAAGGACATGCAGGGGAGGGAGCATTTAGAAAAAAAGTAAAACTGATTGTGTTTATTTTGAATTCAAAAATGCTATGTTCGAATTTCAGAAATCAAAGTGAATTATTATTTGAGAGGGAGGGATACTATTTAACTTACTTCCAGTCAGTTATATATGAAAATTACAGGAGATGTGATCACAAATTTAGAAACAGAATTAACTGGAAAACACGGAAAGCTTATCAATCAAATACCTTGCTGAGATTGAATCTTGTGTTGCGTTTGTGAAACCATCGAATGTCAAATTTAGGAAACACAACCCGTATCCAAGTGGAGCATTAGGATGAGCCAGCTTGCTCAAGGCCTTTGAGCTAGACTGGAAAAGAAACCAAAAGCATAATTGCGTGAAGATTAAAATGGGACTTCAAAACTAAACACATAGATTCAACAATCATACAGTAACTGATCAAAGAAAAAGGTGGGGGATAGAAACCGAACAATTGTAGTTTTCTCAAGTATACGTAATATATTCACCTTTGCCAGCGCAAATGCAGACACCCCACCAGCAACAAGGAGAGTACAAATATACTCCGGAAAAGTGTATCTTATACCATAAACTAGTGTCCCCATCAGCATTACTGCATAAAAATAGAATAATACATTATTAATAGAGATAATCACTACAGACAATCAAATAAGAAGAAAAGATGTACAGTAGGTTCTGTATATTAGTCCCTTAAAGTTTAAGACTGAAATTAGCACTTTAAGAATGAGACAAGCAAAGATGCATCCACCCATCAAAATCGAACAACAAAAAACAATTTACTTCTGTTCATTATGTAACAGCAACAACAAAATAAGATATAAATTATCCAAACCCTCATCAAGACTGTCATGCACCCAACAGTGACATTAAGGGTGGGGGAGGGCCGGAGGGGAAGGGGTGGCTCGGTTCGTTTCATGGAATGGAAATAGGAACAGGAATGATTTTCACTTCCCTCAATTAGTTGAGGAATGACTCATTCCATTGCCTCAAAAATAGGTATCATTAATGTTTTTCATTTCTATTCGCCACCTTCTATTACCCTCAACCAAGCATGCCCTAATTGCACGAAGATGATCAAGCTTCTAGAAAGCCTCTATTGGGTGAAGACATGCCACCATTTTGATAATCTTTCTCGCTCTGTGGAAGAGATGGCAGTGGTATTAACTTTTTTTTTTGTTTATTTTAGATAAAACAAACACAAGCTAATAGTAGCATGTTGCCACATCTTTGCATGTTAAATTTTGCATTTTAACAATCTACAAAAAGGAGAGAAACTTTCATCCTAATCAAGGTGGAACTTACCTGGAATCATTTTTGAGGATTTTGCCAGGACCTGCAAGTGATGATAAACAAATGAGTACCAGAAGCTACTTCTTCAAAGTTGTTCCATCAAGGAACATAATGCATCAACTTACAACATAAAACTTTGAACAACCAATGTCATCATGCAATAATCAATGCACATATTATGATGTCAGATAATAAATTCACAATTGGTAGGTAAAGATAATATCAATAAAGACACTTCCCCTCCTAAAAAGTAGTTCCTCATCCAATAATTCAAACAAGCTGAGGAAAAAGTTTGAGTTACCCACAACAAATTTAAGAATTATGGTTGTTTGTCAGCTTAATCAGAATTACTTATCATCGTTTCATTTCATAGTGGTTATCCAACGCATCCTACCAAATAAAGGTTAATTTGTCGAGATAGAGTTTACTGTAGCCAATACTAACCACTTAACACAGACTAACACAGTTAAACAAGAGAAACACCTTTTGGGACTTGATCACAAAAATATTGGTTCCACCTTTACAGCCATACGCTCAAACAGTGACAGAGAAAGGAAACTGACCATGCCGTAGATTGGGAAAACTATGACATACCTGAGCAGGATAACTGATGTATTTTAATGCTTCAATCCCCATAGCTGGGCCAATGGTATTAGTAATCCCAGCACTCCAGTAACTCCACCAAGGAGCACGACCAGTACTACCACTGGGCCATAACTTTATCACTACTCAACAAACCGTGAATGTCAATCACCTTAGTCATCAATTAAAGTCTAGATGATGAAAAAGAAAGTAGAAAAAAATATTACACAAGAAATACTCACTCATGAATGACCATATTAAACAAACAGCACTTTGTGCCAAGTTTAAGAATGCCAGATGTTCAAACCTCTCCTTATCAGGGCCAAATCGTTTAGTAGACCTGAAATTTCATTTACTAAAACTCTCATAATTGGAAGGCAAATGCCATAACAAAATTTTCAAAGAGATGCAAAAAAAAAAATCTTGGTTATTGGCAAAATGAAGCAACCTATACTCCATTTGTTCCAAACAAACAAGGTCAAAAAATTACTTTCTTATTTGAGGATCATAAGAAATTAGTTAACAGTATAATGAATTCGGAAGCCACGAACTATCACCGAGACCTCATTTAAAGCCACCGCTTAAAAAAGAAGTTTCAAGAGGTCACCGAACAAGTTAAGTTCAAAGACGTTGACACCAACAAAATGAACATCGAAACTGGCCTAAAGCATTGAAATGTCTGTTTTGTCCTGCACTTGGAAATCGACATTTTTGCCATAATGAATCAAATGTTGATTTTAATTTGGTTCAGCTACAGCTTTATATTGAAATGCATAATGTACAATTAGTTAATATGCATATATGGTTTGTGTGTGTGCATGTATGATTATTAACTGTATTTATCAACTTAATTACTTGTGACCAAGAGTTAAATATTTGTAATTAGATGTTTGATTTAAATATAATAACCCATTGTTCATTATGCATTTTAACTTGTGTGAAACCAAATGGACAAAAATGTTAATTTTCTACTCAGGGACGTCATGGACATTTTGTGAGCCCCAAGCAGGTTCAGCGTGTTTAGATTGGCATGCGATCTTTGAATCCAACTACTAGTCCATTGACCATTCTGGAACTTTTTTCAAGGGATGACCTATGCAAGATTGTGGTGTTAGTTGGGTGTAAACCAAATCCAATATTCCTTATTATTCAACGTTAAAGAACCCAAATTTTGTAATGGATAATACTCTAATAAGTTAGACACTGTGAATCCAAAATCAGAGGACCAAATGCTTGGATAGTAACATTGCTACTAATTTAAGTGGATAATAATGGTTTATCAATTCCGTAAAACTTCAAACAGATATCAAAAGTGCCATTATTTGCTCTGATCATAATACTACGTATCAATTGTAACAAAGCATCAGCATTGACACCAGAACAATCAAATTTCTTGCTCTGAAGTAACCTAAAAGCAGTCAATAAATGCATTAAAAATTCTTCCATCATTAATGCGAACTCAACAACAATCATCACCAATTGATTTTGCTACAAGTTGAAATATCGAAACATTGTTCAATTAACCATATGAAACAATCATGTTTTGAGATATATGAACTCGACACAGAAGAACAAAAAAATCCTTACACGGTTTCTTGAAGAATGCCTTGGTATATATAAGCCGACCATATACCAGCGACGCAGAATGCCATCTCCAGAACACGGCGGAAACTGACGCCGTGAGCCTCCATCAGCGCCGAAATATATAGATCCGGCGAAAATATTCAATTCTCCGGCATTATTTCTCCTGTATCACAGATCGAACTAACTGCTAAGCAATAATTTAACTGAAAACTGAAACGATGGAAACTTCGTTTTAAGCAAAATCTATACGGTGAAGTGGGTGGACTTCCAACATGCTTTGTAAGTTGAAGCTACGTCGGGGGTTCCACGTGGAGAATCCTGATTGGAAGATTTGACTCACGTTGTCACCTTATTGGCTGAAGAATAGCATATGATGCAATCTAACTATGAAGATATTTGCAGTCTAGTCCCTACAGTTTGTCACATTAACAAATATTACCCTTAATATTCGCTTTGGATGTCACTTTTTGTTTCTTGAACTTCATAATATGCCACTAAAACTTTCAAACCGATGTCATTTGATCTGAGTTGCAGGAAGTGCATCTTTAAGTTGGATCAACGATATATAAAGTCGTGATTTGATTGTATGAAAAAGTCAACACTGTTTGACCCGGAGATAAGTCAATGGTATTGATTTGGGGAACAAAATACAATTTTCCAAATAGAATCAACCTTTAGAGCAAAACGCAAGATTACGTCTTATGCATAGGCCCGGTATGTTTTTAGCCGAATTCCACCATTTCAACTTATATTCCAAATCATCCTTCAAAGTTTAATGTGTGCACCTTTCATACTGCAAAAATTGGCCGAACAGGTATACGAGACCCATGAGTCCTTCATTGGTCCGCTCCTGCTTGCTGGACCACAATGGCATTAGAAAATGATAAAATGGTCATGATGCCATTTAACTAAATTTTAAATTTTAAAATCATCAAACAAAAATTAAGTTAAAGTTCATGGCTAACACACGTTATTAGTCAACTTAATGTTTAATGAGGCACAATTTCACGTAAATAACAACAGCTTGTAACATGTCATTATGTTCCGAAATGCCATTGTAAACTTGTCAACATATTGTATATGTGTTAAAGTGAGCTCTGCCAACATGTATAAACCTTGTAAACATGCCTTTTGTAACTGTTATACAAACTATACATCAAAGATTACATGTAACGATAACATGAACAATGGAGATCTCATGCATAAAACTGGCACGGTGTGGATCTTAACTTGATAACCATGTACCAGTCAAGCTTATAGGTGCTCTGGAATGCACATCTCAACTACCGTGTACAAGTATAATCTCAAAGGTACTCCTTAATACACATGTACTAACCATCATGCATCATATGTTGTATCCTACCATGTCCTTATCGGTATCCTGACACATGGCCTGCACACATTATGCTCGTTTTATCATCATCAAAATAATTGAAAATCTTGTGGATTGACATTTGCTTGCATGCAACCTACAAATGCATCCAATACTTGTATTATTCGTTTAAACACATGTACAGCTTGATTTTTTTTGGCTAAATGTATGTTGACTTTTCTAAAATGTCGGACCACGGTATGAAAAAAGAGAGTTTCATCCATCAGTTATTTTTTAACTGTAATCAAAATTTTGGCATATGGTTCAAGTTTCATATCACCATACAAAAGAAATAAAAACAAAACAAATGGAATAGTTTTCAAATGCTTTTGAATGAAAATGACATAAAAGAAACAAGAACTTTGGAAGGGGTTCGTGTCGTCAATGGGAAGAAAACGACGATAAGCAATAAGCGTTCGAGCTCAGGTTACGTTGTTTAAAGTTATAATAAAAAGTGATTTTTTTGATTAACCTAGATATCCAATCCGCTATGCGAGCCGACTAATCCCAGGGCGACCACCTGCTTTTCAAATAGCACAGAGTCACCACATTTGAACCTCTATGGCCACAAGATGATTTTTATTTATCATTGGATTTGAACTTGTGACCTCCTGATACTTTTAACCTTTGGAGCCAAGCTCAAACCAATCAGGTACCATCCTTGTGGTTTGTAAGAAAAAAGTGATTTTCAATTCATAAGTAGTTATTAAATCAGTTCAAGTTGATACATTGAGGTTTTCCCATGAAACAATGGTGATAAAGTTGTCGATTAGACAGAGATGTCATGGACCATGGCGTTCATGCAAACATAACTTTGTAAACTATATTTTTGATCTTTGTGATTGTCACCCACAATCAATTTTAGTCCCTCTTTTAAACTAATTATAGTTTTTAGTCATTGTGGTTGTCATTTTTTTTTTTCACTTTTAGTTGCTCTGACTAACGTTAAAAAGGAAAGTTAACTTTAAGGGTATTTTGGTCAATTTACTCTTTTTTCTTTTTTGTTTATTAGATTATAATTTACACACACATGTATATAGGACCAATAATTTGTTAACCAAGAAAAAGTGCTAACTATGTTAATCCATCTAGACCGTTCATTTGTAAGATCTACGGTATAAATGTAAATATGAAGATAATGGGGCGCGTGTTCGGCTTTGAAGACATAGTGAACCTCGCTGAACATGGGTAACAATGTAATTTGACTATCCACAACAAATTAGGGAACGATCAAGATTGATTGAAAATACTCCTTTTTTTTATTATTGTTCCAATTTTAGGGCCAATACTAAAGAGAATCCTAATCATCTTCATCGATTAGAAGATCATGGTTGATTTAGAATAAAATCGAGTCGAGAACAACCACACAGAGGTAAGTTCATGATTCCATAGGTTTTGAAATATAAAATATTTTATTCAGATTGATGAACTAGGGTTTTTTATTCCATGGTGAGGAAAAGAATTGAAAGAATCGACAAGAAATCCTTTTTTTTTTCAAATTCAAAAATTCAATGGATTGCCATGTCGATGTAGACACTACAACAAAATTGGGTTTATAGGACACCCCCAATCTTTAAGCGTCCCAATAGACCGTTTTATATTTAGAAATCATTTTTTTTTCAAATTCAGAAATTCAATGGAAAGTCTCATGGGACTAAAAATCAGCCTTCTAGAGTCCCAAGCGACTTGTGAAGAGACTTAAGTCACTTAACAACCAGCTTGGCACTCTACTATGTGCTTTTAAGCTGTTTTGCGACTTCTCGTGCGACCAAACTTGCATCGTACGTCCCGTAACTCAGGATGACTTTCAACACAAGTTTTCTTCATCCCAAAATCAACCATGATTCAAATGCCACAAACATTTAATAATAGCTAGACATCAAATCAATTTCTTCTTGAATTTCTGATTTCTTCTTGTTCAGCTTAATGTTTATTGTAGTTATTTTTTTTTATTGTGATTCTTGGATCTGCGATTTCCCAAAAAATCAAGACTACAAAAATGAAAAACACTAGACTTGAACATGCTATTGTGATTTTAGTTGTGATTCTTGTTGATTTTCCAAGACTTGGACCTGCTGTTTTCTATGAAAGACTACAAATAATTGCTTACATATTGATTTTTGATTTTGTTTGCATATGCAAGACTAAAAATAATTACTTAGGGGTCGTTTACCAAACGCTTATTCGGATAAGTGAATACTAAGTCACATTACTTTACCGGATGAATATGATAAGGACCAAGAATCTTACCCGGTAAGAGCTATCAAGGACCAAGAGTTTTACCCGGTAAGTGAAGGCGACGACTCTTACCACGATAAAAGCTTATAGGGTAAATTTTTGCATATGATACCGTTTTGGTAAACTAAAATCTTATCCGATAAATAAATGACAGTGTTTAATTTTACCGACAAACACTTACTAAGTAAGTATTTGGTAAACGTGCATCTTCCTAACAAGGGACCGTACACTTTTCGAGTTCTTTTACAAGAATGTTAATTTTACTTTGAATTTCGTGTAAAATAATATTTTATTAGTTTATATATATATATATATTATATATATATAAATTATAAATCAAGATTGCCATGTCATTAAAAGAAATTCCATATCAGCAATATTTATTATCTAAATTCATTTCCCTTCTCCTTTTGAATTTCCTTCCAGATAGTCGTCATTATCATCCTCTCCCCCCTCACACTCTGTGTTTCCTTTTTCTGCAAGGAGACGTTGTTAGAAACATTCAAAAGAAAAAGCATGATGAGATCCTTTTTGAGAAGCAGTCAATGGCGAAATTTTCTTTGTGGTTTTCCATTATTTTTTCACTTTTGATTACGACATTCTTCTTTGTCCCTTCCCTACTTACTTGATTTCCACCAGATGTGAACACGAATGAATTCCTTTTCTCATCACCCTTTTTCTTCTTCATCTACTCCTCTTCCATCTTCCAAATTCCATTTCATTTGCTCAATCAATATGGGTAACTGTTTAAATTCTTCTTCAGCTAAAGTTGACGTCACTCTTATCTCCCAAACCTCTGGTAACTTCACTTCTTTCATTTTAATGGAGTTGATGCAATTATATGTATACTACTTGTGTTATATTTGTATGTAATTCATGACATCTGCAAATATCACTTGTGGGTTCTTCTTCGATGTTAAGTTTTCTTTTCATGATCTTCGATACTGCTTTGGAGCATGAATTGGAATCGAAGCTATTTTAGTTCGAAATCTTTTCAACCAATGGAATTGTAGTTCATGGTTTTATGTATGGAATTAGAGATATTGATTTCAACCAAATTTTCTCCAATTTTGATTACAATCGACGGAACTAGGGTTCCTGGATTCATTTGTGTCTCTGATTTTGCAATTATAACTGTGAGTTTGATTATGGATTCATTCGCGTCTCTGATTTTGCAATTATAATTCTGAGTTTGATCATGGATTCTGATAGCTTCTATCTCCTTAGGGATATCAACAATGGGCAGCAAAACTAGTTCAGCTTTAGGTCCTTCCAGCATGACCATTTCATCTTACAATGGTGGGAGCAGTATTGAAAGTCTTAGCACCCCAAGATCCCAAGGGGGTGAAATCTTATTGTCTCCCACTATGAAACCCTTCTCGCTTTTGGAGTTAAAGAATGCCACCAGAAACTTCCGATCTGACAGTCTTCTAGGCGAAGGAGGATTCGGCTACGTTTTCAAAGGCTGGATTGATGAATTTACTCATTTAGCTTCTAAACCCGGATCCGGAATCGTCATTGCTGTCAAAAAGCTTAAACCTGAAGGCTTTCAAGGCCACAAAGAGTGGCTGGTATGCATCTTTTTCGTGCCTGTATTTCCCAAACCGAAGCTTTCAATTAGCAGCATGACCTTCTAATATCTTTTTAGGGTTTAGGGCTTATGTTAACCTTTATCTTAATTGCCATTAGTTCAAAACAGCCTACTCTCAGTTAAAAACAGTCTGCTTTCTTAAAAACTTCGAAATACATTCGAGGGTCATTTTGCAAACGAGCTTCTGAAGAAGATCATTGACCTAAATAGCCATTTCCCGCACCCTGTTTCTTGGTTATTCTCTCTGTTTGACTGGTTTAATGATGCTTTGTTGTTTGCAGACAGAAGTAACATATCTTGGGCAGTTACACCACCCTAATCTGGTGAAACTTATTGGCTACTGTTCGGAGGGCGAAAATAGGCTTTTGGTTTACGAGTTTATGCCTAAAGGAAGCTTGGAGAATCATCTTTTTAGAAGTATGATTCTCTATTTTTAAGGGGTTTCCGAGCTACTATTTGGTTGTATGAGTGTTTATCTTCTTATATAAACTCGTGGGTTGGTTTAATTTGATCATTGAACGTTTTATTTTCTGGATTTACAGGGGGGGCTCAACCACTTCCATGGGCAACAAGGCTGAAAGTGGCAATAGGTGCTGCGAAAGGCCTAGCTTTCCTTCACGATGCTAAAGACCAAGTCATATATCGTGATTTCAAGGCTTCTAACATCCTTCTTGATGGGGTATGATACAATACGAAAGATTTGCTTTTGTTGAAATGCATAAAGCCAATGAATTCTTAACATAAATCCTAGTTGTAGACAGATATAGAATTGGTTCTATGAGGATACATGGAACCCATTTGAATCGCTCCGAAGATTTAGGAGAAAATAACCTCAAAAACATGGAAAACTGAGGAACATCCTAGTAACCATTTATTTGTCCGGTATGCAGATATGCATAACAGTAATTGAAAATGTTTCCTGGTTTCTATGCTGGTATACATTTTATGCACATGTGTATACCTGACAAATTATTTTTATGCACATGTTCATACCAGACAAATGAATAGTTATTAGGGTGTTTCTCAGTTTTTATTTCTTGTGAAATGCGATTGACAACCTTATGGTTTCATGATGCAGGAATTCAATGCAAAACTATCGGATTTTGGTTTAGCTAAGGCCGGGCCAACCGGTGATCGGACCCATGTTTCAACTCAAGTAATGGGTACACACGGGTATGCAGCACCAGAATACATCGCTACAGGTCCGTGCTCTTAAATAACCATCTTGATGCATTGGAATCGCCCAATTTAACACGAATATTAGAACCTTTAAAATACACAGAGATTTCTTCAACTTTTATTGGATAGTGAAAAAGAAATCTTCTAAATGCATAAAGATTTCTTTAAATACACTCATTTGCTGATGAACAGGTCGGTTAACAACAAAGAGCGACGTATATAGTTTTGGAGTTGTTTTACTAGAACTATTATCGGGGCGTCGTGCGTTGGATAAAGAAAAGATCGGTATCGAACAAGATCTTGTCGAATGGACAAAACCGTATCTAGGAGACAAACGAAGATTGTTCAGGATCATGGACTCTAGATTGGAGGGTCAATACCCACAGAAGAGTGCGTACACTGCGGCTACCCTTGCTTTACAGTGTCTTAATATCGAACCTAAAGCCAGACCTCGAATGTCGGAAGTTTTGGTGAATTTAGAAGAGCTCCTAAATGCGAAAAATGTGTTAAAAGATCGTCGCATTCTGTGTAGTCCGGTTCCTGAATCGCCACGGAGACGTCGTCAACGTCGTTCAACACCCTCAGCATCACCACAAACACCCTCGGCATCGCCTTTGCCGACTCCACGACAGAGTACTCATGTAAGATGATAGATAAACAAATGGGGATTCCCTTAAATTTTCTTGTTTGCATGTATCTAAACCACTCCAAAACAAAAACAAAAAACAATATGTCTACGGTGACAAGATGTACGCATACATTTTCTCTGTCTTTCTTTTGAGACAGAGATGCTGTTTTCGAGAAGATTACGACTGTTGTTTGTATGTATATATTGATGTATTTCCCTCTTATGTTGTGTTAAATCTTATTTGCTCAAACCAGAAAGGTGGTACCTGATTGGTTTGAGCTTGTCTCCAAAGGTCAAAAGTACCAGGAGGTCTCAGGTTCAAATCCAAGAAGGAATAAAAATCCCTTTGGCCACGGAGGTTCAAATGCGGTGACTCCGGGCTATCTGCAAAACAAGTGATCGTCCTAGGATTAGTCAGCTCGCATAGCGGGATATCTGCAAAACAGGTGATCGTCCTAGGATTAGTCAACTCGCATAGCGGGTTAGATATCCAGGTTAATAAAAAAAAATCTTATTTTCTCATCGATTTATGTCTCCTCAGGTGTGACTGTTATATTCAAAGCACACCATAAGATTAGTCAAAGTCGATAACATTCGGTATTTTTGGTAAAGAGGAAAAATAGGTTAAAAATATAACTTTCGTTAATGTTTGCATTTGTCCCCTTCATATAATATTATGGAAAAAAACTTGGACAAATATTTTGAAATTGGTTGCTATTTTTAATTCGTTTTGCCCTAACAAACAACAATATTCAGATTTCTTATTGATTCAGAATGCCGTAAAATTGCACATCTCAAAACACTTACAAAGTGATCAACTTATTTCTATTTTACAATCAGTCAAACAAATATAGATTCACACATATTCAATCAGTTCAGATGATAGGTGAGCTTTAAGCCCATTTTGCCATCAGAGACATCCCGCCTGCACCAAGTAAGACGGCAGCATAAGATTTAATTTGGAGCTTAATGCTCCCCTGAAGCTTCGGACCCATGAAATCAGCCGCTAGAAGATCAACCAACGCCATGTAGATAAGTAGTCCGGCCGATGAAGCATTGAGTAATCCAACCGTTATCAGCGCACTCGGGCTATTCTCTTTATAGGTCTTTGACAATGCTATCCCAAGCGCAATCCCAAATGGAGTCGTTATCGAGAAGAAGAAAACCATTACTGCTTTTTTTAGAGTCTTGTACTCAGCCTGTTATTGTTTATTTCGTTACAACAGATATATGTTAATCAATAAAAATATAGAAAGTTTCATCCTCTCAAGGTATTATACCTGAAGAATGCAACCACCAAGACCCATTCCTTCAAACATTTGATGGAAACAAAGAGCTGCCACCAATGGCTTAATTGTGCAGACATCATTTGAGGCCCCAACTCCAAGTCCAATCACTATTGAATGAACTACTATTCCAAGTTCTAGCACCTACACACATCCATTTTTCATTTTTAGTTAAAAATATAAATCAGATTCTCTTAAAGTTCAAAAATATGAAACTAACCATGGCTACGACACGATAACGAAGAAGTTGCGATCCTATTGGGCCCTTTTGGGTATGATGGTGTCCATGGAAGCTTGTCGCGGCCATCTCGTGGTCTTCGGCCGATATCGCATTGTTCTTTTTGGTATACGTGCTTGTGGCCATGGAGTCGACCATGAGTGTGAAGATAGCGGATAACATTGCGACAAAGCCCGTAAACGGAAACTTATGCCAGGGGTTATCTGCCAAACAACTAGACCTCAACATGTCAAAAGAATCGGGCAAGACGTGCATAAATCCAGTAGCCAAGATAATGCCGGAAGCAAAAGCTTTAACGACGACAAAAAGGCTACGGTCGGGGCTAAGAGCCGGGATAGATCGAGTGACAAGAGGCAGACATACACCAATGATACTGGTAACAAGGATCACAGCGATCCCGATGATCTTCAATGAGAAGGCCTTAGATTTGTTGTTACAAGGATTGTTGGTTTCATCTTCACATTGTGAAAAGGCTTTGGTGCATAGAAATGCCATAAAGACGATGAAGATTGGGACCATTTTTGAACTGAAAGCCATGGTTCAAGATTTCTTCAAAGTTGTTGGGATATGTGTTTGAGTGAGGCTGTGGGGTGTGTGTGTGTCCATATATATACGTACATATATATATATATACATACATATATATATATACATACATATATATATATATATGTATATATATATATATATATGTTGTTATATCATGAGCTTGTACCAAGGACATACACACAACAACTTTGGAATGTTATAAGGTCCACTTTCTAGCTAGTGCATTTTTCATGGCGTATTTTAGTCGTTTAAAATTAAATATTGGTTTTTAAATAAAAACAACTAGTAACAAGAACGAGGTTTCCCATACATATATATATATATATATATACATATATATATATATATATATATATGAGATTTTATCTTTCAAGAAAACCGTGAAAATTTAAGATCGTTAGAATGAATTTTTTGGTTTGATCAGTAGGCTCATAAAACGCATTGACATGACGTAATTATGTGGAACTTCGATGACAAGAGTGTACTGGACATGTATCTTAACATGAAAAACGTTATGCCTTAACATTAAATTTTCATTTGTTAGTGAAGTTGTATAATTTTAATTTGATATTACATAACTGATAAATAAAAACTTAAATTGTTGTTTAATTACCAACTAAATTAAATATCTGATGAATCTATATAATTAACTAAATTTTAAATAAATAATAGAAATTAAAAAGGATATACGATAATCAGTTGAAGTAAAAATGACAAATATATTCTATTTTTCTTCTTCTAAAACATGATATGTGTTTAAGTCTTATTTGTCACGTGCTACTTCTGATAATCCATGTGTTTGATGTCCATGTCGCTACGACCTAATAAAATACCAAAGACCATGTGAACCTTAATAATGCATGCTGTAATAATCAGATAAAACAGAAAATATATCTTTTCATCAACTGAGAAACACGTATCTACAACTATACTCAAATGTTGGAAGTCTTTTAAGTCTAGTTTTGTATCTAACTTTCTACGATCAATCTTTTTTAAACTAAAATTAAATACAATAATTACATAATAGGAAATTTTCAGTTTATATTAATAAAATACTGGTATCAAAGTAGATATGTCGTAATAAATATCCAATCTCCTTTTTTTCGATTAAACATGTGTTCTTAAAACGACTTTTATCATAAATAAATTTATGACACCTATCAAAATTATGAGTAAAATCTTTATTATCTAAAAGAAATATATGCATAATCAATCTATTTGATGAGTTACTGCTTGTTTGTTTTTTGAAAAAAACCACTTAATGCCTCTTAAGTCTGAACCGGTCAGACGTTTTTATTTTTAGACCGTTTGTTTTTTATATGAATAAGAGCTGAAAAGCTCTTAATTTGCTCTGAAAAAAAAGTGATAACGTAATCACTTAAATCCTCTTAATCGCTCCCTCCAGACTCTCCCCTCCATCCTCACCTCCAGATTTAGTCCTCCAAATCTATCTCGCAAGACATTCGATCTCCAAATCAATCACGACCCAGATCGATCCACATATTTTCTTAAAATCATGACCCAGATCGATCAAAATCTATCAGATCCAAAACTTGACTGATTCAGATTTCAGACGTAAAAACAAACAGTCTGACTGATTCAGATTTCAGACGTAAAAACAAACAGTCTGACTGATTCAGATTTCAGACTTCAGTACCACCTCTTAAAATTCAGAAGTGAAATCAGACTTCAAACTTTAGAACCCCTTAAAAAACAAACGTCACCTTAGTTATAGAAACCTCTTTATTATGGTTTTATAAATTATAAAAAAATGAAATGGCAAAATTCATGCCATTTCAAATACTTTTATTTTATATTCTTTAAGGAATTAAGTTGGTAAATGTGTAAAACTATAAATAATATAGAGAATTTGAAATATGTTTAAATAATATTTAACTATACTATATTATAAAGTATTTGACAAAAACTTTTAAAAACCATTTTTATATATAAAGTATTGTTTATTGATGCATATTACTTTAAATTCAAGATTAAAAATAAACTATACATAAGTACAACTTATTAAAGCTTCATATTTGAATTCGTGCGACTAACTGCAGATAAACACAGTCAAATACAAGATAAATATTTCATTTTAAATATAAAAAATCGAAAATTTAATTAGGATAATCATTGAGTTCTAACAGAATACTTAATTATAATTCTTATAAAAATTATATTATTAAATCAAAAATAAATTATTTTATTATTAAATCTAAATTAAATTATAAAAAAATTGCATTAAAGAAATTACACAAAAAACAAGAATTTTTAAATAGTTAATTCACTACTAGAAAACTGGGCATTTCCGGCGTCTTTTCCGGCAGACTATTTTCGCCGGTATTTTTCCGGCGGAAGTTAAAAAAGTCAACTTTTATTGACTTTCGCCGGAAATCTGCCGGAAAAATTAAACTGATTATATTATCGGCGGATTTCTTAATTAAGGGTTAATTAATCTTTTAAAATTAATTAATATTTGAAAAAAAATTAAAAAAGATTTTTCTAAAACCATTTCCGGCGGATTTATTTATTTATTATTTTTTTTAAAATTTTTTTGCCGGAAATCCCCCGGTAACATTTTAGAAAAATAATTTTTAAAAAATAAAAAAAAACATTTTAACCTTTTCCGGCGTTTTTCCTGCTGAAAATAAAAAAAAAATCCGCTACAAATTTTATTAGAAATTTATTTTAAAAAAATAAAAAATAAATTTTTTAATGTTTTCCTGCGGAAAAATAATAATTTAAAAAAAAATCCGCCGGAAATTAATGGATCGGATTGGTCCTTAATGAATCGTATTGGGCTTTAACGGACCGTATTTGCTTTAATAGACTGTATTGGGCCTTAATGGATCGTATTGAACATTAATGGACCGTATTTGCTTTAATGGACCGTAATGGGTCATAATGGATCGTATTGGGCCATAATGGACCGTATTTGCTTTAATGGA